CCCACGCAGATGCCTCTCTTCTCTATCTTTTAATCACAACTGTCCATGTGGGATGTACAACAATTGTGCAAAACCGCATTTTACGCATGTACAAGCCTTTACAATATTGTATGAAACCCGCGTTTTGCACATGGAAGGCCGTTTCGACCAAGCAAGCGTCTTGGATTCGTATCTGAGGTAGCGGAAAATCCATATAGGATCCTCCTCTTCCCCTCCTACCTCCCCAAATGCTTCCAATTAAACTACCAATATAATATCACGCCAACAATCCATGTGGGATGTTTTTCTCGAAATCATTAATAATTCATGAGTATAAGTTTGATATGGTTTTCTTGAATTGGTCAACGAAACACAAAAATATATGGATATATATATTCCATCCTCTCTCAAAACATTTTGAAGTTGGTTAATATTTGTGCTACCTGTAACTTGGCTCTTTCAACCCATCTCTTGGTGGTTATCGGATATCAGACCTTTTGAGATTTGTTCTGGTAACTTTTAATCTTTATTTGTCATCGCATCATAGCATTAATTTTCCTTTTCTAAAACAAAGGTGATATACCTCAAACACTTAATAAAACGTTTCCTTCCAACTTTGAGTATTTTATTCCATTCAGTTGAAATGGTTTCCTTTGATAGCAGCGCGGCAGGACCCAAACAAATTTACAGAAATGATTAAGTCCCTTGGGAATTAATATCTCACGACATCTTTTCAAGTGCTTTGCTTGTCAGTGTGGGATACGAAATGTTGGGTGATCTTAGCTCGAACAAACCAAGGTGGTCAAGAAATGACATGCCTTATGAATTTTTTCTGAGGAACAAACCAAAGCTTTTGGGGCAGAGATATATTCAGTTAGGCAAGGGTTTTCTGTCATGCTTCAGAAAAATATTTCTCGCACGTTTTCCTTCCTTTCTTTTTCGTTACATTTATCTATTTTTTGGTTTTGTAATAGAACAATGGAAACACGAATCAAATTTCTACTGCCGTACATAACCTGGAAAAAAACATTTCTTAAACTATAATCTTTTTTTATTTTATTCACCCTCTAAATTTTACTCAATATTAATTGTATATACACTCAAAAATATAAAACTACTCATACACAGCAGTCAATACACCTAAATCCAAAATGACGCACGGCCGGTTGAAAACAGGGGAGCAAGGAACAAATTTACAAATTTACAAATTTACAGTATTTTCTTATAATTTGTGCTGCAAAATTGTCGCGTTCCTGAATGTAAGAAGAAAAGAAAGACAGAACAAGTGAACAAGTGTATACTTTGCATTGACACCATATTATTTTTTTTTTGCATTTGGCCCTATATAGATGCCTCGTTTTCTTGTAACACACTCGGCAGTGCGCCATTTTGTACCTAGTTGTATAAGCTTATCGATCTTTAACGGGCAAACCATAACCACTGGACCACTTTCTATTTTTTCAAAGCCAAACACTGCAGGGATTCGGTATCGTCAAAGGAAATATTGGTGTTAACTGGAAATTATTGGCATAAAAAATATCGGTATTACTCCGACGTAGGACTAACGTCCGAAACGTTAGTAARTTTTTTCATCTTTTTACGTTGTATGATTTACCATTTTTTCATTACCGGAAATTTTATTATGCAGGAAGAACAATATTTGTAGACAAATATAATTGTTAATTTATTGAAATGTGTACACTAATAAATATTCCCTGAATATTTAACCAGCACAGTTTCTTCATGATAAGAGTCAGTGTAAGTACGAATTATACTTTATACATAGCCCATACTAGAAAAAAATTTTTCAATGAAACACCAGGTGAAGTAACTAATGTTCSTGCTATAACCCATGTGGGTCACAATTACACAGAACTGCGCATGCTCAAACAAGAACATGACGTGTGGACACTAAACTTATGTGCAGTAAGAGTAAGGGCTGTGGGTACAAGATTGCTAGTTGTTCTTTTTGATTTCTGCGTCGCACACGAGACTTTCCAGCCTGTCAATTAAGCTTTCATATCAAGTGTTTGAACTCKAATACATGTTTCGAACCAGATATCTGTCCGAATCTCCGTCTTCGTTCATTTTGAAGACTATACAAAAACATGGATGGAACTTGAATGAATATAATATATTCATCACTTGCATTTTGTTGTGCTTTCAATTTGCTTTATGTTTCACTGGCTAAAGATTTTTCTCAAACAATTTAATTAATGCTCACTTTAAATAATAAATTTGTCTTCAGATAGCTAAATCGCAACAATCTCGCACCCAGAGCCCCTCGATTTAGCTCCTTTCCGAAGAGGAGAGGGGGGAACAGGGCTGGAAAAAAAGTGGGTCAGCGGTTGCGGATAACATCGCTAATAACGTGGCTAATTGCGCACATGCGCAGGGTTTTTTCACCGCAAACCTGCCGCATAACTCAAATTTAATTAAAATGACTTTGTTTCTAGTTTATCAACAGTTTATTAAAAATTGATTRCAAATGCCGTGGTATGATAAAGACTTTTAATAGGACCACGTATGTCCTGGTCTGGGAACAAACATCCGATTACTTGATGAGTCGCTCTGTTACCAGTTTCATTATCGTATCCAATCACTTAAAGGAGTAAAATTGGATTCGCCTAAAGCCGTTCGTTTGTTTATTGGCGGAGACCAAAAAGAACACGGGCGTTGGCTCTAGGATCAAAAATTGGTGTTGTCATATGGTGGGATTTTATTAGCTATTTTTTTTAATTTTTAAAAAAATTTTTATTTTTCTTTTCTTTTTTTGTATCTTCGTTTGTATCTTCTTCTTCTTCTTCTTCTTCTTCTTCTTGTTTCTGAAATAGAATTGTGGGTTAGTGTAGGATTTTAACGGCACATCGGCAGTAATCGAACAAACAAAGGAACAAAAAAAAAAACCACAACGACAACAACAATAACAAAAGCAACAACGACTGCAAAAAAGGAAAGAAAAAAGGCAACTAAACAAACTAAAGGAAAAGGAAACGAGCAGCCGCCAAGCGAAAGAATAAACGAAAAAGCCGCCTACCCTGACCAAGATTAGCTTATGAAAGCTTCGAGAGAAAATCGAGACGTAGTCTCATAAAGTGTAACCAAATATCTCTAGTCAGAATAAGCAATAAAGATCAATTCAAGTACCGATATTGATATTAACACATTCCGGTGTAATTACCCAATTCAAATTCCTTAATTTCCGATGCGTTTCTTGTGATACARATRCAACTAAAACATGACAAACACTCTDCTTCAGCTCAATACAAAATAATCTCAAACATTCTGAMTATAAGGCAAGGAAAATGGAGGATTTAATATGTAAAAATAAACATTTTTGTTCATGATTAGCTACCAATTCCTTCAAAAGACGTACTATGGGAAATTTACTGATTAAATAAAATTTCAGTACTACTGCACGAACAAACAGTTTGAATTCTACTTTCAAACTTATGATAACGTTATAGTTGGGATAAAAACTTCGTGTTTTGCTGCTCGCCCAAGGTCAGTTTCATTACTGCCTGCTGMGTTTAGACGTTTCTAAGTTTGTTTTTACTAATCTTGAGAAAAATGCAATCCGTAAAGACTGACAAGCGGTTTTGAGGTGAACTTCAGTGTAAACAATATAATATGTTTTTGTTTCTTAGAAGTTTTGAACTTTCTACTAGGCAATTCAAAGCGATAAAATCCCTGATTTTTTATGTTAAAAAGAACATGTTGCAAGAAATTCTTAAGAGCTCTCTGTTGTTGATGGTGATGCGCTAGATCTGGCAAGTGAATTGTCTGTTAGACTTCGTGCACTGATGTTTACCAAACTACGAATCTTTAATATTAAATTACTGTTTCTTAACCTCAACGATGACTACCATACGCTATTTAGCTTATCATGAGATTACCATTCTTTGGTTATAAACTCTAGGAATTACGAAGTGTTGAGAGAAGAGAATGACAATATATCTTATTACAAATTATTGTATTGGTTAACGAAAATCGTGAATGCCAAAACGCCATGAAAACATTTTCATCCAAATTTGGAACGAATTTTTAAAGAAAGTTTATTGAACATCTGAAGTGAGCTTTAATTTGAAATATTAATTTTGATATGCTGYTTTAATTCAGTCGAGCTGAACAAATAATCCAAAGTTGACAATATTTTTTAATTAAAAATCTGTCAATTTGATTGAATATTTTAAATACAATGGGTTTTTTGTTTCGCGAAAAGCACCGTCAAATCTTTAAGCATACAGAAAGTTAAATATCCAATACTATCAGTTCGAGTTTAGTGCAAGTTTTCTTAACTGGAAAACTTGGAAAAATAGCTCTATATTTTCAACAAAACCTCGTATTTTTGTAGGGGTTGAAACGTTGGTAAATGTCATTATTTAAGTCTCGCAATTTCACTAAGTGACAAAGGAATTCTTCACTTAGAAAGCAATCAAACAGTTTTGTTGATATTAAACTTTTGAAGTCTAGGGTTAATTAAATCTATTTCAATATCAAGTTTTTGATTCAAAACTTCATTYCTATGTTCACTAAAAGTTTACCAAATCTCACTGACCACTGTTGCAGCTGGTGAGAAAATATGGAGAATACTTAGAGATGAAGTTCAAGTATTTTGACGAGTGTTGCGAATGTCGTGCAATGTATGTCTACGATAATATTTATTCAATGCAAAAATTTCTGAAAACAACCAAAAATACCTTTAGTAACGATTGGATTGTGGAAAACTAAATAGAGGGTGTTAAAAAGGATGGTAAAGTTGGGTAATTTTGAGAAATTATGAAAATGATTTTAGCCGTAATCTTGAACTCTATAGGAGGTCAATTAATCCTATCGATGCTTGGATTCTCTTTTACTGAGAACTTTGAACATGCTAAATCACTATTCACAAACATTAGACTTTTGATTGACCTAAGATATAAGATGTCTATGTACTTGTCCAATGAGAACACTCGAATTCGTTATCATAGGCGGGCTTAACTACTGCGCATGAGCAGACAAGGCAGTAATGTATGCCCACGTGGTGCAAACATTGTCCAAAATTAACAAGCTTGTTGATTTTCGAAGATTGTTATTCGAAAGTTTTGCATTTCACTACACTCGACAGCCATGGACTCACCAACCGTCTATCCTTCTACACCGCACGAATTCACTTATTTAGAACCAGATTCCATCGCTCTTCCTTTGGGTAAAGAGTACAAACTAAAAATGGTCAATATGAATGGAATTGATATCGCTGCCYTTAGCGTCGACGGTGAAGATTTGTTGTGTTTTCCACAAGTCTACGAATATTTCCTCAAAGATTTAGTTTCAGGTATGCACACAGTCTACACGAAACTCAAACGCATGAACATCCAGGGCAGAAACTGTAATGTTGAGCAAGTTAGAATGATGAGAAGTGTTGGTGCTATAGGACAAGTTGTCAACCGATGCAAATTAATATCCCGGGAAGATTTCAATAAAATCTATGAAGACTGTCTCCTTTACAGGTAGGGTTATTAATTATCTAACACAATACTCAACTATTGTCAATCAACCCTCCAAATGTTTCTCGCACAATATACAATGTCTTCAAGTCATATTTATGCTTTTTACTAAAATACATTAGTTTCCTTTACTTATATAACCCTTAGGATGTTTTTTCAAATACTCTAGAATAAATCTATTACTTTTGTTGAAACGCAAACTTTTGCGTATGCGTTGACCCCAAAACCCCGACAATGCGGACATCCACAATGCTCTCACACTCATCGAGAAAAACAGTATTCGTGTTTAATCGTTCGTAACAAGAAAAACGCCAGCTGAAAAAAAAAWATTTGGTTTTTGTTTAGCTTGAAAAACGCAAAACAAAAACTCACTCTTTACTTGGTGTGCGTAATTGTCGGTGGTTGCTCCAAGAGATATCGGTATTGTTTACATTGCTCAAAAGAAAGCTTATTTATGGCGCCTTCAATTTATGTAAATGTTCATTAAGATCGACGCTAACAATTGAGAGATTATGGATTTAGGATAATGTTGCAAACAACAATAAGTGTTGTTTTTTTGCCCTTGATAAAGTTTAATTAACYATGAAATAAAAATTCAATATGAATAAAAGCTATAATTTTTTGGTTTATTTTGAASGGATTACCGTATTTATTTTAAAAGATTTTTGCATTTGAATGCTTTGGATGTAATTCTACACCCTAAGGTCACTTGTGTAAGGAAATACTTGATTATCAAACTTTCGTTTCTGAATGGACCGAAATATCGCAAGTTTTCTTTGTTTTACTTTCAAATGTAGTTTTTGTATTTATTTCGTATTTGACGTCTAAAATCTAAAGTACGTTTAAAAACTCAGAAACTGAACTCATTAACTTTATTCCGCAATAATTAAAATAAAAGATAGACAGAAAAGTAAATAAGTCTTAGATCGAGCTAATTATGATGTAAGCAGTTTAACGGAAGTTTCTTTGCGTTTTTTTGTGGTCTGACCAAACAAGCCACTCCCAACACATTAAATTTGCGCGGGAAAAACTTTGTCCAAATTTGGACGACTATGACACGTGATGTAAGCTTGCGCGTGCGCACAACAGAACTTGTAAAAGCAAGATCTAAAGAAAGCATGCGCGGTACTATACTTTGTTTGGCGCAGACCAAAAACACAGCAGGCCTAGTTGTGCAAGATAACTATGGTATGCACAATACTCACAAAATTTAAAAAGCGGTTTTTTCCGTAACTTTAGAGGTCCTGGCAGACGAAGAAAAAACCCCGAAATCCCTCCTGAACTACTCAACAATCCATTCAAAATCTTCAAAGCTGATACGTCCGCTGACCAGCAGTCATCACCCAGTCACGTGAGCATTGAAGGTGCGAAATGCGCAAGCGATGCTGAAGACAATGGCGAAGTGAAAGAAGAGCAACACGAGCAACGTGACAACAACAACAACAATAACGGCGAAGTTGTGACGGCATTTAAAGTACCTATTTCGCAACGGGCTGTGCCTACCATGCCTCATCCTCGATTCGTTACTTCCCCTAATGGTTAGTATTTTGGTCAGTGTCTAGCAGAATTTAGCTATCAGCAGTGGATTTCGTACTCTTTGTAGAATGTCCTGCGGATTGATGGTTTTCACGTCGGCCATGTTGGAGGAATTTAATATAAGAATTGTCAATGAATTCTTTTGTTATATCCTCCAACATGGCCGCCGTGTCTTTTGTTATTTAATTCTCTTGGGAATGGTTGAAAACCATCAATAGTAGCTTGACATTCAAATGGTATCCTATCTTTAGCCAATCAAAATAACCCAGGAAAACTCTTTGTCCAATCACCGTCGGTATCATGATATAATTTACCCATTCGAGAGTTACTCATTTTTGGTCGTTTATAGGTTCATTCACCTTCTCGGCCCGCACCTCCTCGTCCTTATCATCACTACCAACTATGGTGAATATCCGTAGCAATATTCCACAACAGCCATCCAGCAGRCCAGCTATTTCTACTATAATACATCCGACACCAAGTCCTATACGAACCATCGCTACAGAGGGAGGCTTACCTGAGCAGTCTGTACCCCATGTCAGCAGTACGGGCACGTTTGAGCATGCGGAGAACAGAGGGGYTGCTTTAAGTGACGGGATTTCAGATGTTTCAGCGTCATCACCGCGAATACTGCATCAAAAAGAGGTAGGTACCTTTAGTCTGGACATAAAACATATACTGTTAGACTCGGTTTTGAATACTTCTTTTATATTAATTTATATTTATATTTACGACAACCACTACCCGTACGGGGCTCTTCCATGAGGTTCCCTCAACTCAACTCACATGTGGTACAGTCTGAGGCGGGTCTCGAACCCGGACACAGCGGTGAAAGGCCGCGAGCGRTAAATCACTACGTTATTCAAGCCACCCCACCTAAAGCCTCGAACACACGGTACATCTGTTGCCTGCTACAAAGACTATGAATGTAGGAACCCATACCAAATTCTGGCCAGCGGTACACTGAAAAGTCGCATTTCATTGGCTGACAATTCATGCCATTTCCAGCACCTTTGAAGATCGCTTTAACACGCGCTTAAATTTGTAGCGTGCAGCTTTACACAAGTAGGTCTCTAGTATTTTTCTATAACGTTGCCTTAAACGTAGCGCGCAACTCCTGCAGAGCGTGTCCGAGTCTTGAATTATATTTCCATCGCCACGCGCGTTTGTACGCGTTCGTGACTTTCCCCGCCAATTCAGTTCCGCACKTGCGCAGTACGTTTATCGACAGTTTAGAGCAGAATGACTGGAAATACTACTCRGAKACTATCGCGTTAAGCTACACTCACCACGAGTCATTCTCAACCTAAAGCAAACGCAACGTCGAACAAAACAGTAACAAGTGTCCATGTTTTAGTTRCCTAGTGAATACATTTATTATTGTCGTTATCGTAGATTGAATACTCACGTGAACCTGGCTCCGTGGAAACTTTGCTGCAAAACATTCAAGGGTTGTTGAAAGTGACGGCGGAGACGGCGCGACAACAACAACGACAAGCAAAGCAGGAAATAGGTTGGTTGATTGTTACGTTGCGGAAACAGTTATTCGTTTGTATAGTATTCTCATTGGAGCACTGTATCATCTATCTGATGTAGATGAGCTGAGAAGAGTTCTACAAAGAGAAAGAGAAGCGAGAGATAAAGCAGAGAAGTTGATCTCTAGTCTACAACGAAGTAAAGGTGAGGATAATACTGAAGTATTATTGTATACTTCAACAACCTTTATCGTGTATTATCATG